GGGACGGGGCACAGCCGGAGCAGCCGCCCCCCGCTGTCCCGCCGGCCGAGCAAGTCCTCGACCAGATCGGGCTGCTCTTCTCGGAGGGGGGCGGCGGCGCCCCCAAGGCCGGCGTGGTCAGAGACCTGGGTGCGCTTGTCGAGGCTGCAGACTGCCGGTGGCTTTTTGGAGGTGTGAGCCCTGCGACGCTGGGTGAGTTGGTGGCTGCGCTGAATGGCTATGCAGCACCCCCAAAGCAGGAGCAAGATGCTGCAGATCTCCCCACTAAGGACAGTGCGTACACTGCCGCAGCTGAGAGAGCGGCAGATGTTGGCTCAGTGTTTCTACACCTCCTTGCGAAGCTGGAAGCTGCCAAGACCCAGGAGTCTCTGGGCGTCCCCGTGGTGGCTCCAGTCCTGTGCCGTGTGATGGGACCCATCTACATCTTTGCTGCAACACATATTGTGGAGAGGCCCTGGACAAATGTGAGGTCTCAGTCGGTGGCACAGGAGCTGCTGGCGTTGCTGGTTCAGGCCGCAGGCTGCGGGTCGGTGGCTGAATTCCTTCGGGGAAAGAATGAAGATGAGGAAGGAATATTTGCAGCAGTGATGGGGCTCCTGAAACAAGAGTTAACCAAGTGAGTAGGAAGGGGAGGGCAGCGATGGAGAGGGTGGCCTGTTTAGCTGGTCTCTAGGTAGGAAATACTGGCAACTTTTGGGAAACTGTGAGCTCAGGCATTACATGACACTAGATGATAAATATGGGGCCAAGAGCTTTACAAATACCCAGTAATGGAAGGTGGTGGTGGGTGAATCAGTCAGAGCTTACTGCCAGCTGAGAGGCGTAAATGCATAGGAAATGAGCCCTCGTTAGTTCCAGCGTTCACTGAGCTTATGTTTGTATTTCCAGAGACACTTGGAAGCGTAACCCTGCCACGAAGCATGTGTTCTCCTGGACGCTGCCTCATGTCACCCGGCCCTGGCTTAGCCATTACCTGGAGCGTGTCCTCCCGCCATCGCTGCTCATCTCGGACGACTACTGGGAGGAGAATAAAATCCTGGGTGTGCGCTGCCTGCATCATATCATTCTCAACGTGGTATGGGATTTGAGAAATTCGATCCCTTTCTGGGTGTTGTTTGAATGAAGGGTGGGTTGGACACCTGTTAGGATTCCTAACTTGTAATCCTGGTTCTGCTGTTAACCTAGCCGTTCTGCTCCATCTGCCGTGCTGTCCCTGTGTGTTTAAATATGTGTAGCTCTTACATCTGTTAACATGAAGCAAAGAATTGCTATGCCACCTTTTGAACTCAGCCGATTCACGAATCGGCCCGACAATGGTTTGCAGAGCAGGGTATTAAAGTAATGCCAGTGGAACTGCAGAAATGCAGCTGGGGAGGTGAGGTAAAGTGGCCACTCCTGTGCGTGGCAGGGTTTAACCTGCATTTATTATAGCACCTGCTCCCACTTTCCTGTAAGCAGTGTTCCTAATGTGGACTATGTGTGAGGGTTGTGGTGGTCTGTGTTTTTTGTTTGTTTGTTTTAAATAAAACCTGGGTTTCTGAAGGTTGTTCTCTTTTATTAGGTTAAGCGGGTGCTGAACGTGACGCGCAGGAATAATGTTCTGTTCTCTGTTGTTGCAGCCAGCTGCTGACCTGTGCCAGTTCAACAGGGCTCAGGTTGTGTACCATGCCCTTTACAACCATCTCTATTCACGAGAGGCCCCTCTCATCAAGGTAGGACAGCAGAACTTCATTTTAATCTGCCTCGTGGTATTGCATGGTATCGGCCCCATGAGGGACAGCCAGCTTAAGGCATGAGGAGGCAGAACCTGTTTCCTCACAGACAGTCCAGTCCAGCTGTTATTAGCTGATGTCTGTGGCCAAGAGACAAAGTAACTCTAGATTTCAGGAAAATCTCATAGTGGAGGGAAGACCTCTTGCCTCCTGTCCCCTTCCAGGTGGCAGCCTTGCTGAAGAGGGCCAGTCACAGGGGTAACAGGTAGTAGAAATGGTCGGCTCTGACAGGGGAGCTGCAGCAGCTGTGGGTGGTCGGGGGGTTGGAAGTTACTGGTGTTTTGGAGAGAACATCAAAAGGACTGCCCAGATTTACTGTCTCGCACCGAACCAGTCAGTACTGCTGTGCCTGCTGGATTTGCTGCCCATCCTGGAGAGAGCCCAGCGGCAGCAGAAGCAGGGCAGACCAACCACCCCCTGCGATGAGGTGCTGCAGCTGGTTCTGACCCACATGGAGGCAGAGCATCGCCTTGCGCTGCGGCGGGTGTACGCCAGGACCCTGCCTGCCTTTGTGCAGAGGTGAGAGCAGCAACCGCAGCCCTGCAGGGACTTGCTTTGGCCTTGGTATATATCTCCCTCCTCAGTGTGTGTTTCTTCATGTCGGCAGGCTTGGCATCCTGATAGTGCGGCACCTGAAGAGGCTGGAGCGAGTTATCCTGGGGTATCTGGAAGTCTGTGATGGCCCTGAGGAAGAAGCCCGGCTGGGAATACTGGAGACACTGCAGTGCATCATAGAGCACGCTTGGCCCAGGTACCTGTCTGGGGGTGAAAGACGCTGTAGAAAGCATATCCTGAATGCTGTCACTCTTTCAGAGCCAAAGTTACTGTTGCTTGAGGAAAAGGCCTTGAAATCTTGAGGGGGAATCTGTCACAGGGAGGAATCACCGGCATTACTGCTTTGCTGAAAAACCTGGCCCAAAAATTAAGCTCCTCACTTTGACCTGACTTCTGCCTGTTCTAGAAGCATCAACTTGGCTAAAAACTTAATCTCTGTTCTCTGCACGGCAGAACTGTGGAGTAAGCCCTGTGCTGTGAATTAGGCTGCCCAATGAACGGCATTCCCGATACACCATCCTAAGGTTACCTCTGTGTTCAGGGCCTGCATCCTCCCTCTGGTGGGCATACTGAAGGAGGCAGCGTCTTCAGCCTCCTCGCTGAAGCAGTTGCTCATTTAGGCCAGCTACAATCCTGCTCCACACGTAAATGGCAACTAGCAGCTCCTGCCTGAAGTGTCTCGGAACTGCTAAGCAAGGCTGTGCTTTCCCCTGGCTTGTGAAGAGGATTTAGAATAAGGAGCAGTTGCCGTTTCCCTCCGCAGAATGCCATGCAGACTCCCTGTGCTCCTCAAAGCCCTGCTGAAGATGATCTGGGACGTACACACTGACCAAGGTTCAACGCCAGAGCCGGTAAAAGCCGCCTTGCTCCAGGGGGCCACTGAATGCCTCATCCTGCTGGATCGCTGCTCTGAAGGGCAAGTGAAGGTGAGCCGGGGGCCCAGCACTGCTTCATCTCTGATCCCTTCCCCCTTAGAAGGGGCAGCATGGTGCATGCAAGAGCCCACTTGCTTCCTCAGTCCAACAGTATTTTGAAAGCATCCCTTTCCACCCACCTCAACGTTAGTACTTGATTGATAAATGACTTGATACAATACAAGATACTCAACAGGTATCTATAGATGCTTTGTAGAACTCTCTTCCAACAGATAGCTGGGGGGAGAGTTGCTAACACCATAAACCTGAGTGTGCCAAGGCACTGGAAACTGATGCTTTTCTTGTTTCAGGTCCTGCTGGAAGTCGTGTACAGCAGCTGTGAGGAGAACCGTGTACGGGAATGCATCAGAAAAGTGCAAGAGAACACGTGAGGCGTGGCTGATCAATGCTCACCCCCGCTTTTTGTACAGTAAATTTTATTTATTTAAAGTTGCTGTCTCTTTCATCCCACCCCTGTTAGCCCCATACCTGCCCCAAACAAGACGCACTTGCATGCTCGCCTAGCCACATGCGGGCTTCTCCAGCTGTAGAACAAAGCAGCAGTGCCCCCAGTCTAGGTTCCTTCCCAGAGCACAGTCCGAGCTGAGCCTTGTGTGGTTGTAGAGACGGTGGGGAGTCGCCTTCCCTAAAAACTGCACTTCGTGCAGGAGTTGTACAAACTTGCTGCGATTGCCTGGGGTCAGGACAGAAACCCTTCTTTTCTTAAAGAAAATTGCTAGTCTGGAGTATGAAAAAAGGAGTAAATATTGAGGGTCCTGCACAGAGTGGTGAAAGCTGGAAGGAGTTTTAGTGACGGATCTGGAGTCCTGTCATTCAGTACAAAATCCAGGTTCAGGAAGGAGTCAGGCTGCTTTTGTTTTGGTGGCTGGCTCTGTTTCTTCTTCATACTCTATTTCAATGTAGGGACGTTTTCTTCTGGCTGGTCCTTTCAGTGGAGTTTTCCCTTTAGATTTGGAGCGAGGGGCTTTCTTCTCTACTTCTTCCTCCTCCTCCTGCTCCTCTTCACTACTTGTCTCCAACTTATCCATGTCCTGAAAAGAAAGACAAGAGTGACATCAAAGCACGCTGTTTATCTCCTCTTTCTGCAAGATCATCTTGTGTATCCAATTCCATTTTATAATTCCTGGCTCCCAGCTGTCTAGCCAGAGGAGTCGGGGTGTAGTGGATACGGTGCAGTCTGACTGTATCATTGTGTACCACAAGTCTGATTTTGCTGGCTCTTATCCCATCACCAGCGACACCAAGAGGTTGGAGGTTACTTTCAAAAAGCTTAGCCTGACAGTTTATAGCTGGTGCTTCACCTACCTCAAAGTCGCTGAGGTCGCTGTCATCTGCTTCCACAAACTCTCTTTTATCCATGTCCTGTAAGAAATAAAGTCAGAAGCTACTACATGACACTGAGCACAATACAGTGTCACAACTCGCAACAATGAGCCATCGAAGTCACCACTTGCGCACACACAGGCTTTTTCTGAGTTCACCTCTCCTAATGTGTTGTTCTCACCCCGACATTCACACTACAGTGCCCAGCAGGTAGGTGAACCGGAGGTGCTGCACCAGGTCAGGGAAGGATTAACTGTGGTGCTGTGGCTGAAAGCATTACCTCATCATCATCTTCTTCCTTCTCTGCATCGGACTCGCTCTCGCTTTCTGCATCTTGCTGTTGTAGAGCTTTGTCAAAGGCGTGAATGGGGAAGTTGTAAATGTCTCCATACTGAAAAGGAAAATGTGGATTTTCTGTAAGTCACAGGAGGAAGGCAGCCGTTGGTGGTAGGGTCATCTACAGCCTATGGCCTGTGCGGAGGCAGTATCGAACTAGGGTGAACTTGTGGTTCAGCCCCTTCCCTAATTCTGAAGTACACACTCCTGTACAGGCAATGAGGGGCTCTGTGTTTTGGGGAAGCAAGTCCTCCAGCCTGTTACAAAGCCACTCAAGAAGGGCAGTCATCCCCTACCCCTCCTATGCGGGTGGTGCTTCTCTTTCACACCAACGCCCGTGTCCCTCCCAGAGAACCAGCCGGACAGAGGGCAGTAGGAGCAGTTTTACTGCTGTGCTCTGAAGGCAGCGATCCTTACTGTATCCTGTTTCAGTCTTTCCAGTAATTCCTTCTCAATGGCGTTATCCAGCTGAGCGGCGATCAGGGCTTTCTCCTAATGGAGCAAAGCGGAGCTGTGTCAGTTGTTTGAAAGACATGCGGAACAGAAGCAATGGACAGGAGATTACACGAAGGAGTGGCATTACCTCTCTCCTCTTCTCTCGCCTTTCAATCTTTCTGCGTAAGGGAACGAGCTTCCTCCTACAGGGAACAACATGCTCTAGTTAGCGAATCTGTCAGCCTCTTTCTTGTGTAGCAGATGAGCAAATGCTCATTTGGGGCAGGAACCAGCAATTGTATCACTAGAAATGTGGCTGCAACTAGTTTAAGTGCATTTATATACGCGGGCTACACTGCAGTTAAATCCATTTCAGCCAGGTTCACTTACAAGCCTGCCAAAGCCTCAGGAAAACAGCTAGGCACGCTAGGGCTGTGCGTACAGCCAGTGACAGTGGCTCAGCGGACAGGCAGCCGCTCGATAAGCCAAACCAACACGATTGCTCTTAGTTGTGTCACTTACTGTCGCTTGAGCGTCAGCTTCCGGATGCGGATAAGGTACTGTGTGATCTTAGTAAATCGCTGCTTGCATTTGTGTCGGATGAACCGTGGCCAGTAGATGAGGTTCTCGTCTATCTCTTCCAGTGCTTTCTCATAGTTCTTGCTTAGCAGGACCTGGAAAAGGGTTGAGCTACAGAGTGGCAACAAAGCGGGGACATGTCTGCTCTTGGGAGGAGCGCCGTCGCTCCCTGCCCTCCACTGCCTCTCGGTCTGTTACATTAGAGCGCGCTTCGTTAGCGGTCTGCTCTCGTTAACTCACCCGCTCCCAGAGTCGACGGGGAAAAGCCGCCCGCTCTATCGTCTTCATGTACAGGTAGCACCGACCTAAAGAAAAGAGGAGTGTGATCCCCGGAGAAAGACTGAGCACGTCACTGACAGGGGGAGAGTGCCCGGAGCTGGGGTGCCCTCGGGCAGGGGGTATTCGCCCCCTCCCCGCCCAAGGGGTTGCTCACGGCAGCTGCCAGGCTCTCACCTTTCTCCTCCCTGATGGTCGCATACTGGCTGTTTGCCAGCGGGCAGGAGGAACGGTTGCACAGACCGGTCAGGTTGTACTCATTGCGGCAGAAGTTCTGGGTTTTTGTCCTGGGAAGAAGAGAGGCGAGGATAAAGGGGAAGGGCGGGAGTACCCCCCCCCCCCTCCCCCCCCCACCCCCCCCCCCCC